AATATTTTTATTTCTAACGGAGTCCACCAAGGGTGGAGCTCCAGCAATTCCCAATCTGCCAAGTGTGGGGTGTAGTGTGTTAACGCTTACTTCTTCCGTCGTACTCACTGTCCAGACATCGTACACGACCTCTGCAAGTGAACGAGTAGGAGACGTTCGCTGTTAGGGTTATGAGCCCAAAATTGGAGTAAACTTCCAGAACTTACGTGAACGCTGACGATGTCGTGGACGCTGCCTTCGATGTCAGACTTACTTGGTACTCCGTCTCCGACCGCGTCGCGACGGATGATGGCTGTATCAGCGCCTGCAGTGTCAGTAGCGGCTGGACTGGTACGTCCGTTGGCTGGTGGTGCTGGCGGGATTCCTGTCCTTCAGTCTCCACAGCCGCAGTCTGTTTCTGCGTTGAGCTCACCAACTTCAACACTCATTTTGACTGGAACTCCAGTGGTGAACGCTTCAGCGAGGTTGCACGCTAATGAAGAACAACAACGAAGGATACCATTGCCACCGACTAACCTAGCGTTGGATGTGAACAAAAACCCACCAAAAATGGCAGGAAGCTTTAACCTCTATCGCGCTCAAGTTATGGCCTATTTACATCGATTTAATGCTTGGGGTCTGATCGATGGATCCGTACAGCGTCCGATTGTAAATGGGGAACTTCAACAGCGCTACGATATGTTGGACTTCTTTGTGAAAGATACGTTGCTTCGAGGTGCTAAAGTTGAAGACGCTGAGCGTATGTGTGATCTTCCAACTGGCAAGGAAATGTCGGAAGATCTGGAAGCACACCATACTAAGCGTGAGTTTTCTAATTACGTGTGGGTATTGAAGCAATTCTTCCACGCAGCTTACACTCGTGAGCAGACGATGGATTCTTGGCTTCAGGAAATTCACGATACACGTCGTGTGTTGGCTAATCTGGGTCGAGTTATCGATGATGATCTCACTGTGGACGTGATTCTCATGGGAGTAGTGCAGACAAACAGAGATGTCGTGCGTCAGTTTTCTCGCATCATGGCTCCCGGGTCCCGACCCACTCTGCAGCAAGTCTTGAACACACTGAAGTCCGAGACCGAGATGGATGAGATCGTCCGCGATGAGGAAGAGGGAAACTCGAAGATCATGCACGTGGCTAAGAAGCAGAAAACTGGTGACACATCTAGTAAACATATTAGCTGGATTAAACCCAGTGGAGCACAATCTCGTGGAGCTAAATCCAGTGAAGGAGGAAGCAAAGCCAATCAAAAGTCTGGTCCTGGTAAACGAAAGAAGGGCAAGTGCTTCTATTGTGATAGAGAAGGCCATCACAAATTTGAGTGTCGTAAGCTCAAATTTGATCTGAAGCACGGCAACGTAGATGCTGAAAAAGCAAAGTGTGGCAACAATTCTGGGGATAGCTCTAGCGTATATGGGGGAAACAAAGGTGGACCTCCTCAGCCGTTACCATTGGGAATGATCGGTCGTGTTGAAAATACTTGTGCTGTGTCAAGTACTGGGTCTACATTATTGTCGACGTTTGATACCTCTAATTCATTGGAGTGGATATTAGACACAGCAGCTATTACTCATACCTGCGCTGACCGGTCACTTATGACACAGTTCCCGCACTACGTGGAGACGAACACGCCACATGAACCGTGGACAGGAGAAGTAACAACGGAACATTTGGTGTCTCAATTGCCTGTATCTTTCCTATCCACACAAGATAGACGTGGCGAAACTGGAGAAGCGCTTGATTGCGTTCTTACTGGAGTTCGTAATGTTGTTGGATGTCACGTTAATCTGCTAAGTGTTAATGCACTTGAAGAGCAAGGCTGGCAATGTGAGTCACAGTATCCTCAGGACGGACCTCCAAGACGGCTATTATGGAAGGGGCCGACAGCAATAGTGCTTGGCAAGAGTCGAGGTTACTATCGCACTCGTGGTTTGTGTAATTCACCTCAAGTAGTTGCATCATTTGTGGCTGGAGGTGAATCGATATTTCGGTGGCATCTTCGCTTTGGTCATGTGAATTTTGCAGCATTGCAGCAACTTCATCGTGATCGAGATGGCTACAGGCATGACGATCTCTCCTAGTGAGCGCACTAGAGATGCGATGAATTGCCTAAGCTGTACATTAGCAAAATCGCGAAGAATGTCATACAAGAATGTGTCTCCATGTCGATCAATAAGGTGTTGTGAAAAACTGATGACCGATGTCTGTCACTATGGTGAGGTTTCGGTTGCTGGAAACGTGATGTTTCAGCTCGTGGAGGATGAATACTCACGATACCTATGGGGCTTCTTACTCCGTCAAAAGTCTCAATGTACAGACAACTTGAAGACGTTGATCTTACAGCTGAAGCAATGTGAGCGACCTGTCAGATTCCTGGGGTCTGATCAAGAAACTGAGTTTGTAAATCAAAAGCTACAACAAGTCCTCCGAGACAATGGAGTTCGTCCGCTGTATACAAATACGTATACACCCGAAGAAAAAAGTTTTTCGTCGAAAAGATGAATGGTGTAGTACTGCGTTCCGTTCGCGCTCTCCTCGTAACCAGTGGACTTGCAACAAAACTATGGGGAGAGGCATTCAAGTTTGTGGTAACGATACGCAACTTCTCACCATCCAAAGCCATTAAAGACAGTACACCTTACGAGTTATTTGAAGGTCGTATACCTGATGTATCTGGTCTACGTGTGTGGGGCTGTGCTGCAACGTACTTCGTCCCTAAGCAAAGACGGAAAGGTAAACAAGATACGACAGCGAAAGATGCATTGTTTCTAGGATATCCTAAATCCACGACTGGATATCGTGTCCTCGATCTTGTTACCGGACACATTGTGGAGTCTCGTGACGTAAAGTTTCGCGAACAGTGGACACTGGCGGCTGACTATATGGATCAGTTGCTTGACAAGTTCTACGCGAAGAAGCCTGGTGTGGTGCTACCTGTTTCAATCCCGTATGTAAGACTTCCTCTTCTTGACTACTCGAGCTCCTGTAGCAGCGATGAAACTGCACTGGCATTGCATAGCTCCGATGAAGTCGGTCCTATGGATGCTAAGGTTTAAGGCGATGTAGTGCAAGAGACGAAAGTTAGAAGAGCGTGGGAGCTTGAGTTTGATAATATCAACTCAGGTCCAACAAAACGCAGACGAACAGGGGAGCTGGCCCAGACTTATGGTACTCCAAATTGTGACTCCACTTCTATAATTCGTGTCGATGGACATGAGAATGATACGAGATGTACAAAACACGTTGAAAAGAAGCGACAACCGGGTTTGGTTGAAGTTAAGCGACGTCGGAAAACACACACCAAAGACCCAATTGTTTCGCTTCGCAGATCAACACCTACACGTCGTCCAAACGTAAGGCTACATGGCTTTTCGCTTGCCAATTACTTCATCTCAACTACGGACAAGCTGCCCAAGTCAGTTCGTGCAGCGCTTGCAGGTTATGATGGTGATAAGTGGTGGCAAGCTTTGCAAACGGAATTCTCTGACATACAAGCGAATCATACGTGGATTTTAGTGAGCCGTCCGTCGGACACTAAGATCATGACCAGTCGCTGGGTGTTTGTCATTAAAAGGAATCAAAACGGAGAAATTGTACGCTACAAAGCTCGACTTATTCTCCGGGGTTTCGAGCAAGCGTTTGGTTCAGACTATTGGGAAGTATACTCTCCAGTTGTGAGTATGGAGGCAATCCGTGTTGTCATTGTGCTCGCATTCTACTATGACCTGGAACCTCGCCAAATTGACTTCACTACGGCATTTCTAAACGGTGAGATGGATGTCGACGTGTATATGGAGCAACCAGAGTTGTTCGACGATGGCACTGGACGTGTGTGCTTGTTGAAGAAGAGCTTATATGGCTTAAAGCAAGCTCCTCCGATCTGGAACGCAAATTTGAAGAGATATCTAGTGAAGCTTGGTTTCAAATCCAGCATAATTGCAGATGGCGTTTACGTCAAGTGGGTCGACGACTCTCCTATCTTCCTTACAGTCTACGTTGATGATGTCGTTATTGCGGCTAAAAATGAGAGTATCACGTGGCTAATTTCACAGTTGAAGAGTGAATTGAAGCTAAAGGATTTGGGGGAGATCAACCTCTTGCTGGCCATGAATGTAAAAGTGGAGCCGACACGAGTCACGTTGTCACAAGAATCGTACATTCAACACATTGTGGAAAAATATGGCGATCACACTGCTCGTGTGCAATGGACCCAAAAGTAAAACCTGTGAGACCCAGCAAACCCTACGGACCTGACGTAAACAGAAGTGATCTACCATTTCGTCAAATTGTTGGTTCCCTACAGTATTTGGTGCGTTGTACGAGACCCGATATCGCGAACGCGGTTCGTGTCTTGAGCAAGTTTCTTGACTGTTATACAGAGGAACATTTTGGACTGGCTCAACGCGCTCTTACGTATTTGAAGGGGACTAGTTCCTATGGATTGGTGCTACCAAACGTTTCTGCAAAGGGCAATCTTTCTATCGTTGGATATGCTGATGCTGACCTCGGCAATGATATGGACACTCGTCGATCTGTTACTGGCCAAGTTGTAACACTTGGTGGATGTGTTGTAGCATACCAAAGTAAGCTACAGCCCAGTGCAGTTAAAGATACATGCAGTGCTGAGCTCACAACAGCCAGTTGCTGTGCAGATCGAATTCGATGGCTACAAAACTTGTTAGCCGAACTACAAGTTCCTGTCGAGCTTCCAGCTCTTCTCTGGACGGACAATGCTGCAGCTGTTCCGGTCATGACACATTCCAGCGGACATCACAAGATCAAGTGTCTAGATCTGGTGATATACAAGGTTATTGACTATGTCGATGCTGGTTACATTGTGGTAAAACACATGCCGTCTAAGGTCATGCCTGCTGATGCCTTAACCAAGCCATTGGGTAAGGGCAAGTTTCGCCAACATCGAAAGTAGCTTGGTGTCGAATGCCTGTGTACTCAAGTTGATGGGGATACAGATGAAGAACCAGAACAACAATCCGACCCAGATGACGCGCAAACAAGCTAAGGAAGACTTCCAGTTTCAGGGGAGTATGAGACCTGGACGACGCAGTCTCAGAAACCAGAAGTCTTTTTAGTATTGGTAGTCACTCGCCCGTTAGATACTTGGTTGATATTTTTATTTCTAACGGAGTCCACCAAGGGTGGAGCTCCAGCAATTCCCAATCTGCCAAGTGTGGGGCGAGTAGTGTGTTAACGCTTACTTCTTCCGTCGTACTCACTGTCCAGACATCGTACACGACCTCTGCAAGTGAGCGAGTAGGAGACGTTCGCTGTTACAATGTCACTACGGTTAACAACCGTGATGTTAACACCTGACAAGTGGTCGCCAGTAGGCTTGGTCTTGTCATAAACGCCAAGGTGTTCGAGGATCTTGACAATTGCCAAAGGTGTGCAAAACAGCACGCACTTTTGCGTCTTCTCGTCGTCTACGTAGCGGATGTTACGGTACAAGTTGCCACGGTAGAGTTGGCACAGTCCTTCCACGTCCTTCTTAATGCTGATGCTGTCGCGCAAAAAATCGTCCATGGTGCCACCGAAGAAGCTCGGGAAGGCGCCGAAGCACGGGTAGTACACGAGAATACCGTGCACATCCGAGTCTTTGTTGGCCTTCTCCAAAGCCTCCAGCAGCTCGTCCTTGGGCACTTCGCGCAGCTCGTAGCGGATGCCGTCGCGTGCACAGGTCTTGCCCGTCCACTCGGCGTACTTCTTGGGCCGTGAGCCAGCAAACCCACGAGCTTGGGACCCACGCCACCCATGTCCTGCTCAATATACTGGCGCACGGCCAAGCTGAAGGGCTCGGCGATGGTCGCAGCGTTCATTTTCGCACCGGCGGAGTCGGTCATCTTGATGTTTGTGGTAGACGTCGGTTTGACGGATGGCTGGCTGACCATTAAGCGAAAAACCGTTTGGTAAGAGCTCGATTTTTTAACGCTTTCGAAAAAAAGGGTTCAATTAATATTTGATCATATTATAAAGCCAAAATAATTAAGAGTCGTTTTTTCAAAAAGAAACGCTTTGTTTAACACCTTTGGAATTCCTTTTTATTTTAAATCGCAATGATTTGATAAAATGTCATTGAAAAAAGTGTTTCGAAATCAAAGTGCTTTTAGAAAAACAGAAAGTTTTTTTCTCAGGGTGGCTCTTAGCCACTGCCACGTGTGCCATGCCATGGCACTAGAGATTGAGCCATGGCATGGCGTGGTTACGAATAGACCTGCCACTGTGCCATCATGAAAACTATTTTTAAAATATTCATTAATGCAAATAAAAGTAGCATGGCACATGGCAATTGCCCCTTGCCATGACACTTGCGAATGTCCGTGGCACTTCCTGTCATTTTATTTACTTTAAACTCTAGCCCTAGCAAGCGCTCATCCAATCGGATCACAGCATTTTGTGCCATGGCGTGGTTAAGAGCGACCCTCAGTTAAGCGAGCACTTTTCAACGTCAGACTTAAAAGCGACATCAAAGCTCCTATTGCTTTTTTTTTAAAGATACCGTTTTCGAAAGCGCTTTTTTGTAGAGTACTTGAATTAGCTCCCCAAAAAAGCACAACAACATTTTTTAGGTGCTACAGGGCCAAAGCAGCGCATGTTTAAAAAGTATAAATTAAAGCAGTATGTAAGCGGGCACTCGCTGTTAAGGTCGAGTTGATTCAGACTCCTTGCGCTGATGGTACCGTCGTCGCGCAGTGAAACAGTACCAGTACCCGACACGAGCTAAGCCAAATTAGTGGCGGGGCAGCGAATCGAGCGCCTTGTTTTTGCTGACTGGGCTTATGTCTCCAGCCCATTCCTTCAATTAAACATAATTTTGACGTTAGTCCAGCCGATTTGTCAGTGGTGCAGTTTATCGTACCGGAACGATGGGACTGAGGTCGGTCTCCCAGCTAACAACGCTGTGTACAGCGGGGACCATAAAGCCGAACACAAGCACGAATGCACTCGTGATGTGGCCTATCACGGCATCCCCGAGCTCCATAGGTGTGTGTGGTTTGTACAGCACTCTCTTGAAGTAGTATTCTTCTCTTCGGCGTCTTGTTGGTCTTGGCGGGAATTGGTAACT